CTGCAAAGACTCAACGTCAGCCAAGGCGAGTGAGAAAAGGAAGGGTGCGCCGCTCTACATTGTGTACAATTGCGCGTGTGAGTTCTGCATTGGCAATACCACAACTATATCAACAACACGCTCGGTGAGGTGAGCATCTACAACATATCATCGATACCAAACCCTCACGCAATTCAAAGTATATTCCTTAATGAAGGGGTATTGGGCTCTCTGGGTGCAGTCATGAGTACTGTGTTGTGGGTGCTAGGCAGTAAGGGCAGCCGTCGAGTCCCTGGGTGAAGAAGTACCTGTCTCTGGTACCACCTTGCTACATGGGCTTCGTATTCAGGTGGCAGGCGAAACTGCACAACCAAAACAACTGAAGGTACCTTACTTCCTGAACCCTAAAGTCGAAACCCAAAGCCCTACTACTACTACTACTACTACTACTACTACTACTACAACTACTACTACTACTACTACTACTACTACTACTGTAGGCCCTAAAATCCCTAAAGGGGCGTCTCAAACTTCAGACGCGAATCACAGGCAAGGCCCTCGGACTGATTGGGGATCCCCGTGTGGACAAGCTCCATGCCATGACCCACAAGGCAGGTGCTAGGGCATCAGGGTTTGAGGGTTTCGAGTTTAGGGTTCAGGTTTGAGGCTTGCCGGCTTAGGTTTGAAGGGAGGGCTGCCGGTCTTAGTGACGGCGTCGTGTTTCGGGTGCAGTCTGGCTCAGGATTGATGGTTGTGGAGTCGATTTTACGGCTAGGGCCAGGGTTTGTTGGTGAGATGAGTTCAAACGGAAAGGGTCACCGTACAATCGGGTTCGAGTAAAAGTATAGTGGAATCACAAGTCTGATGGACAATTGAGGCTTCTCTACTGTAGCGCTCGAGACCGTTTTTGGTTGCGACGGGCTCGCCTTATACAATCAGTACTGGATAGGTGTAAACATACTCCAATATAGCCCCGTAAACCGTTCTGAAGGCCCCTACATTAGCAGGCTTATTGCGCCTTTTATGCTTTGTTGCATGAAGGGTTCTGCCGGGGCTCCTTAGGATTCCTGAATGTAATTGTAGCCTTAACCCTAATATAGGGGCAGTAATAATTACCAATACCATTTGGGGGATTCCTTATCATAATTTTAGTATAACATACCCCAAAACCTTATTCTAATTGTCCAGGCTATATGAGGGGTTCTGCGCTTGTTGAATGCAGGACTTGCAAGTTGGTTAGAAGCATGGTAGCGCAGTTCGTTTGTCATACAGTACGGCTCTATTGAAAGAACCTGCACACAAGGCCAGCAGCTCGTAAGTTTCAGAACGTGCAACCAAAGCCACCGCGAACCCCTTGGGGCTTGGAGTTAAGAGCTGCGTCTGACAGGACCCCCTGAGCACGCGAGAGAGAAAGAGAGAGTAGTTCTTCAGAAGAGTAGCTTTTGCTGTAGCTGTAGTTACCTTATTCAAAACTCCACTTTATCCAACACCTCCCAGGTGGGGAATATGATCAACGGCGACTTCCGGCGGGTCATGACCGCGGACGCCACAGGCAGTTGTCATGTAAAGGTTTGGCCACAGTTTTACTGTCAGAAAAACACCCTAAACCCTAAACCCTAAACCCCCAAGCCTCTAAAACCCCAAACCCTCAAATCCTAAAACCCGGCAGCCAAAGCTCCGAGCCATCGGTCCTCCCGATTCGACCGAGCACGGCCAATCTATTTGTTTGTGTATATCTATATATATATATATATACTATCTATGTACATAGATCTAGAAACATATGTATATAATGTATGTATGTACATACATACTCTCGACATATACATACAATTACCTATACATACGCACGGGCAGACACACATATACATGTACATACATACATAAAGCATGTGTATATATATATATGTATGTACTTATCTATCTATCTATCTATCTATCTATGTATCTATCTATCTACCTATCTATCTACCTATCTACCTGTCTATCTACCTATCTGTCTGACTGCATGTGTATATAGTTTTATATACACATAAATGAATGTTCCCAGATCTAAACTGATTAGCTTTCTTCAGCAACTGTGTTCGCGCTCCAAAACCTCAGGCCTTTGACCGTGTGTCCGGCTCCAGGCTTATGCCCTTGAAACTCAAAAACCGCCTAAACCCCTAAACTTTAAACCCTGAACCCTAAAAAGTTCAAGACAGGAATGGACGCCAAGCGTTTCACTACCTTCTCTGCCGGGCCTGGCGCATGCGGCTTTGTGAAGCAGCACTATGGCTGGAGAGCAGGGGGTCGCGGTTTGTACTCTGTCGGATATCGCGGCTTTTGTTTCCGGTTACGAGTGCAGGCTTTTTCGCAAAGAGTTACAGTTAATAGACGGCTCAGGAATGAGTTTCTCTCCCCATCGCTTTGCAGCAATAACTCGGCAAGCTCTGAATTGCCTCGAGACCCTGCGTAGTACGAGATGACATGAACTCTTCGCAAGCCCTACCGACTCGCAAGTAGGGCCTTGGAGTATACGTCAGTCACTACTAACATTGATAACTAGCGAAGAAAGCCAAGCTGTCTGCTGGCAGGATTGTTCGCTTTAGGGCTCTTATTATTTATGGTTCTTCTGGTATAGTTCGCAAAACCTTATTCTAACGGGTAAGTCTCCCATAGGGGCATGATCTCCGCCTAAACTGTAAATCGAGGTTTGTCTTTCGGGACGAGGCCCTACCTGTAGCTCCGAAAGAAATTGAAGCTGTGAAGGAACCGACCTCTGCGATCGCTACTAAACTAAACCCGATACCCAGAGCCCCTGAGCCCTAACCTTCTAGTACTCGTCTGGGAACTAGCCCTCATAGTACCCCTATCATACCAACAAAAGGCCCCCAAACCCTAAACCCTAAGCCAACAAAAGGTAAGAGCTGATGAGAGCCGCGATGTTTTCGGTGTTGATGACGGTGATGAGACTAGTGAGCGATCGTCGCCACCGCCCACACAGCATTCAGCATCATGGGCGTGATCATCATCATCATCATCATTTTCCTGCTGCGACCATGTGTAACATGGACGTCAACTTCTGAATCGGCAACACCACCGCCCCGGATTAGAAGCAGCATCATTCTTATTCACATCACCATCACCATCAATGTGGCCGCAACCCCCCCCCCCTCAGCACCTTTGCGTCCCTAGCAAGCAATGCGATTCGCCGTAGTAATGGAGATGTTGACGTCACCATACTGAGAGGAAGCTTGCGCCTTGGCTTATCCAACGTTGCAGGATTTTTTTCCAAAATATCCGCCATTGCATATCTTTCTGCTCCTGAGGTGGTACTACATGCACAACCATCCTTGGGAATTCCGGAAAGCATGCGACGAAGGCATGATGACGCACGGCGCGCACGACTGTCCATCTGCAGAGTTTCGGATTGCGGTCATGAATGGTTGAGGCTTGCTTGGAGGATCATGGGACTTAGTAACCAGGGTTATAAATAATAGGGTAACTATAATTATGAACCCAATTAGGGTACTTATGACCTTACTTACGAAGTCCCATGATCCTCCAAGTGCAGTTCTTGAGACAGGAAAGAGGCCGCCACTGGGGGTGATGGTTCTAGGACTTTTTGGGGAAAGCCTGGTGGCACATGAGAGAGACCCACATTCAGAATGGATTTTGGAGAGGCGGTGCCCTGCGTCTTGCATAAAGGCTAGCAAACAATATAGTGTAGTATACTAGACTATAACATATTCCAATATGTTATAATGCACAAGAGCCGGAGTAGACTATACTATACTATATATTTGGACATAGCATAATATTGTTGAGTATGTGGGACGATTTCGTCTTGACCCCTAAACCCCAAACTCCCGATGAGATCCGTGGTCCGCCCAAGGAAGTTGCTGCCAGTGCACAAGAAGAGCGAGACACAGCCGGACCAGCCCGTGTACATGACCAACGTTCAGTACGTGCCTTTCCTGGTGAAAGACTTCAGGGTTTAAAGGCCAACTTTCGCAGGGTTTAGGGGGGTCCAGTGTTAAGGCAAAGACTTCAGGGTTTAACGGCCAGCCTTTGCAGGGTTCAGGGGGTCCAGTGTTTAGGGTTGAGTGTATTTGGGGTATTTTGGGCTGTGTTCGATCATGCCTCCCTTCACTCAACCCTGTGGTATTCCTTGGGAAAGCAGTAGTATATGTCAGCGCTAGTCTTGCCAGTATCGTGTTCTTATCCTTGCCACTTTGCCTCGACTAGGACCATCTGTCATCTATCCATATGTTTGTCAGTCTGTCCATTTGTTTATCTATCGATTTGTCTATGTATCTATCTGTCTACATATCTAACTATCTGTCTATCGATCTATCCACCTATCTGCCCGTCTGCCTATCTGCTTATCTATGTGTACCGGGTCACGCAAGCATGTGGGCTGTCATCACATGCTGCAGCTCGGGAGGAATGAAAGGCTTAGGCTTCATGACCGATGCAGGTGCCATTCTGAAAGGCGATCCCGGGCCAGATTTTGCATCACAGACCGACGTCCGAATATAAGTTCCCTGAATCGGTCAGTTTCCCGTGCTCCGTCACGTCGACGAGATTCGTTGAGCTTGACCTCTGCCAAGTTTCTGCATCCCGAAATCACCTAGCGGGTTCTGTTCCGGGAGCTTTTTTTTCTGCTGTTTACATGGCTTTGCATGCCCCTCGCGCTCAGACTCACCACGCCCACTCGCTGACTTCGCAAACACCGTCCTGCGCGAGGTTTTCGCCTTGTTGCACATCTTCCGCTCGGTGTGTCCGAGGGTTATGTCTCATGTCCGCGTTGCTTATTTGTTGCACCGACACGCAGGCAGTTTTTGGACGTTCAATGTTCTTGCGACTTCGAACTAAGCTGAAACGAAAACGTGACCTGTGTGGTATATTCCTCACATCCTGAAACTATCTCGCGTTTTGCATTTTCCGTCTTTCCTGTTTTCGGTGATGTGTTCCGCTTGCTTGAGGTGGGGGAGGTGGGGTGGCGGGGGGCTTAATAAGGTTCTCTTTGACAAAATAACGTGCATTGCAGCGCCAAGTCGTCAGCTGGAGTTGAAGTTTCTGTCACCTTATCTGTATAGGACATGTATCAGTGTGTATGTACATATGTATGTAGACAGCAGTAGCATTGCGGTCCGCAGCACGCCACACACATAGCATACACCATCATAATATCAATCGCAGCAGCAGTAGCAAGACTGAAGGCAGAACGCGACATAGTCATCGTGAGCATCATCACTTCGCACGAAACATCAGAACAAGTACCAGCTAGCCAAGAACCTTAATAGTTTTTCCCAGTGCATAACAACATGAAACCCCGAACATGCCGACCCAAAACCATCCCGAGAATTAAACCCGCAGGGAGCCCTTAAACACGGACCGAGTCTTTGGTAGCTGCCCAGCACCTTTTCTTCAAGGGCCCCAATACCACAATAGCATCTTTGTCATGAGGGGAGGGAGGGAGGTTATTAATCAGGGCATCTTTGTCATGAGGGGAGGGAGGGAGGTTATTAGTCAGGGCCTGCAACATCCCTCTTGCGGGGATCCCGCCTGAAGGAATCTCATATTCTAAGCTGCGTGAAGCGCCATTTTGTGCGGGATACTTCTTTTATTGGAGGTTTATGCAGGGTTTACATTAGGTTTTTGTCTGGTGAATGTTTTTGCAGGCCCGTTTTCGGTTTAGAACCAAACTTGCTGAGGAAATGTGGGCTGGCGGCGTTTTTGGAAGCTGCAAAGCCGAAGTTGAGACTGTGATGGGTTTAGTGTTCAGGGTCGGAATCCGGCAATTGGAAAGTGCGAAAGCAGCAAACGGTGGAGCTTTAGTTTGCGGTTTAGGGCCAGTTTAGGGTTTAATCAACAGGGCTCTAGGGTTCAGGGTGGTGTCGAGTGTCGGGCTCAACATTGTGGATCTCTGGATGGCATAGCTACTGCGGAGCTGGCGGCCAGGATCACTCCCATACTCATACTCCTACTAACTGTTGTGTACCCCTACTGCATCCTCAAGACTGCCCCAGTCCCGAAATCATTTTGCGTTGTTGTAATTATTAGGCGTCAGTCAGACATCATGTCAATGTACCCGCCCTCTCGCACGCAAGCCCAGAGATCGTGTGAATGTTCTCTCCAATTTCGTTACCGTGAATACTGAACCCTAACCCTAACACTCTAAAATCCTAAGGCAATAAAAGCTTTAGGTGTTTAGTGTATCGTTATCTAATTGAGGATGTTGGACAGTCTGCTTGCATGACGGGATTGTGAGGAGCCTTGCTGGCCCTGGTGCGAGTGTGAAAGTCGAAAGCCCTAAAGCTCTACAATCCCGAAATCCCTGGACACTAAACCCTCAACCGCAAGGCTACTTCCCGAATGCGGCGCGAGCCTTCGGCGACGAAGCGTCTTACAAGTGCCCTTACGGGTTCGGGCTCCATGCTCGGGGGTGTGAAGCTACTACTTGGAGGATCATGGAACTATAATGATAACCCCAATTAGGGTACTTATAACCTTACTTACTACGTCCCATGATCCTCCAAGTAGTGGAAGACATCCAAAAGAAGCAGGCGTGGAGATGAGCTTAACATCGAAGCCTGCATGATTACCACTATTGTTCTGCAGGGGTTTGTATGATAGCGTGACTATAGTATACCCAAAAGCCCCATGCTTCTTAAGCCCTCTTTTTCTTTTCCACCTTAGCTTCGTTTGAGTCTTCAGCTTCGAAGTGGATGTGATGTTGTTGCAGGGTTGTGGGGTTTAGGTATAGGACTTCAGGGATTTTACAGGGTTTTAGGGGTACCTGGTAGTCGCAATAGGCCTGCATGCATAAGGGGCTTAGGGTTTGAGGTTTATGGTGTAGGGCCTAGGGCATCTAGGGCTTGATACAAAAAGGGAGTTTAGTAAAGGGCTTTCGGGTTTAGGGTTGTCGCGATGTCGATTTGACCAGGGAGGCGCCCATGATCAACAGCGCCAGGGCGGTCGTTTCGTTTGCCAAACGACGGCCAAGCGATTGTGAATATTTTTCGGTTGGGGTGTTCAGTTGTTTTGCCTCAGGGCCTCAGGGTTTAGTTTGTAGTAGGGCATGAAGTCGGTCACCGCACCGAGGGCTTTAAGAGTTGGGGAGAGATTTCACAAGGCTGACGCAGAGCATATCATTGATGCACCGTTTGGCACAGAGTGTAGTAGCAGCAGGCGGTTGTCGATGCTTTGTCGAGTTCACGGCAGCTGAGACACATGATTTTCCTCAAGACACCTTGTCAGCAAGCGGAGTCTCCCACACAGCCCTTACCAAAGCACACAAAAAGCCGGAAACCTTTACTACCCGAGACCCTCGGATAACGCCGTGTGCTATTCAGACTCTCCCTCCCCCCTAAAGTTCGGAGGTACTCTCTGATCCACACCATGCACCCAGTGCACAAGTTCTACGAGTACTGCAAGGCCTATGAGGGTTTAGGGTTTAGGGGTTTAGGGTTTAGGGTTATGGTTTTAGGGCTTTACTGCCACTTCCGGACGCAATTGTCTGGAAGTGCTGCTTCCCAGCTGATTGGCAGAGTCTGGGTTCAAAAGGGCTTTAACTGCTAAAGAGTATTATATAAAGGGTTCTGGGTTGCACCTCGCGGATTGAACCTGGAGTCTAGAGGTCTGTATTGAGACGACCTGTCTGCAGTGCTCTACCAAGGTGTTGTCCTGTAGAGCACCCATACGAGCCTTCAGCTGCACGGAACAGACAATTTTGTAGCTATAAAACATACAATGCGGTCTGATAGCGGATGACAAGATCCCCCACGTAGTTCCTTTACTGTATACTAGTACTGCACTACTTGTACTATAACATACCCCCAACACCTAACTCTAATCGTTAAAGACCTCATTTGTAGATTATCAGGCAGTAGATTAGAAGAGATCCTTACCAGTGCCGGCTGATCCCCAGATGGGTTTTAGGGTTTGGCCGTTTGGTTGTTCGGGTCGACTAATTACAGTGCGCAACGAGTGCAGTGCATGCAGTATATACAGCACTCTTAAAGGCATTCTCACAGCTTGTAGGTTACTGAGCCCCGTCGGTCGGCAGGCAGATTGGGACCGGTACCAGAAGATGCCCCCGGATGCATTGGAGAGAAGGTTTTGCCTTCCAGTAAGTGCCCCGTTTACTCTGCGGGTCCACTGATTCACGAACCGAGCCCCTGTCAGAAAACTTACAAACATGCCAACAGCCAGTACAGCCGGATGTTTACCTCATAGAACGAAATTGCAGGCCCCTCTCCCACCACGGCAGCAACCGGGGCGGCAGGTTTCGAAAGGAAAGGGGTTGGAGCGTGTGACTACCAAGTCTCCAAAGCATAAGAATGGAAACAGTCATCATCAGCAGCATCACCAACAAAACGATTCTAAGAGTCAAACCACGTGTCACTGCCAGAAGTATTTTGGTTGTTGTTACGGTCGTCGTTTCCTTTGTTGCGACAGATACTTCTAGCAGTAGCATCCAGTATCTCAGTATTCTTCTGAAAATTTTCTAGCCCCATGTCATGTCATAGTTTTTCAGCCTCTGCAATATCATTATTCTCGCATGGCGCCCGCAACCCTAAGCTACATTATCTACCGTAGCAGGGCCCCAGCTCAAACCTTGGACTGCAACGAGAAGGCAAGGAAACCCTAAAAGGGCTTAGGTTGAATCACCAGGGGCCAGGGGTATAGACTCAGTATAGACACCTTCCCTTACTTTTAAGGGTCATGTGGTCCAAACTAGTGAGGTCGGAAGTTTAACGGGTTCTTGTTAGATCGCGGGGCCACAGGGCGCATGGTTCTGTGTCCCTTTGTCAGTCGACTCCATGTAATGTACTAACTGACTAACTTAACATAGTACAACATATTATAATATATTGCATTAAAGTGTATGATAGAGTTTGGAAGATAATAAAATGCAGTATACTTTACATTTATACATTATTACAATATGCTTAATACATTTAAAAATAATGTATTGTAATATTAGTATAGTATCGTAGAGTAAAGTTTCGTGTAGTATAGGGTTCGATATTATATTGCTGTAATACAATATAACATAATATATAACAATAATATGGCACAATATAGTTACAATAGACTATGATTCAATAAGGTATGTCATGATAGGTCATGATATGCGAAGATATGATTTGTTTTCCTCTAATATACTATAAGAACCTGATACTTTATAATAAGGCATAACACAATATGTCACGATGCAATATAATCTATGTATATATATATATACATATTTATCTATCTACGCATATCATAACACAGTAGAAAAACACTAATAATCTAATATATTAAAAACATAGTTACACACATACACACTTACATACACACTTATGCAGCTGCTTCATGTCTAACTCTACTGTTCATTGCCAAATCCGGGTATCCCTACTAGGATGTCACTAACCGTCCCCCTTAAAATGCATGAACCAAGGAGTAAGTCAGAGTGAGAAATAGAGTGAGAGAGAGAGAGATCTACATACGCATATGTGCACACATATATATATATATATATATATATGTTTATAGTTTATACGTATACATATTTATATGCGGGTCGGAAGACTCAGTAGTAATCCCTTATCGCCCCCATCGAGTTACACTCTGATGAACCCGAAAACCTTGTTCCAATTATGAAGGCTAATGAAGGATGATTACGGCTATAAGTTTCTATTATCGTGCTTGTTTTGCTTATGATTACCATTGGTATTATTTTTACTCTTATGATGACTCTTATACTTCTGAAATTCTTACAGATCTTATACGGGGTGCAAAGCTGAAGGTTCCAGGAGAACTGCAAGGGCTGCGCGGACAAGAACGTGCCGTACCCCTACACCCTGGATCACGTCAAGAGCTGCCTTGCTTAGACTTGATTGGAGGACTTTCAAATTTGGGAGGGACTCTGATTTTGGATAGTTTTTGCTTTTTGGGCGTCCGCCGGTCCTCTAATCCTGCGGCCCTCTGATTTTGATGCTCGCCGCTCCTTTCGGCGGCTACTCTTCAATGATTCAGCAGCAACCTCAGAGAACAGTTGCGCCGGTAACGCCAGCAGTTCGCAGGACGGGTAGCAGCAGACCACAAGAGACAAGAAACACAATGCGGTTGTCACTCGAACGGTTTGGGATAATGTAGGAACCTGATTAAGAAACCCCGGCCCTGTAACCCCAAGTACATGAGGCTTCACATTTAGACCCCACATAAAGACCCAGGGTCTCTTAATCAGGTTCAGACATTTGCCTAACGGATAGACCAGGCCACGCGCCCAATCGCTGTTAAGCCCTTTTCAGACTGCTGGTGTCGCTGGAGGGCCCCACAAGACCCTAAACCCCTTAAACTCCGAACTCCACATGCCCTGAAACCCCAAATCCCCCCTACATCCTGAGACTTCAGTCCTTCGGCTAACTGGACTCGTGTGCATGGATGAGTATACCTGTGCTGTGGGATATACTCGTGGGTGGTTCATCTGTCGGGTTGGGATGGGCTTAGGATCCTATGGTGTTGTTGTTGCTGGAAGCCTTGCCTGCCTTCGTGCGAGCGTGAGAATCGAAACCCTCAAGTTCCAAACTCTTAACCTAAACCCCTAAATCCTAAATGCCAGGCTGGAGGCAAAACAGAAACGTTCATGTTTCTATGGGATCTGCTGCTTCCATGCGAGCATTCTCGCATGTTGCTTTAGCGAGAGGAGCCTGATCCCTGCATCCGTCCAAACCCTAAACTCCTGAACCTTGATGAGCCTTAGGTAAACCCTTAAAGTACGCATTTTGCGGGAACCCATATAGTAAGTACACTGAAAAGGAAAGGGCATCCGGTTCAGAGGTGGACGATTCGTGTGCTTTTAAAGCTTTCCAGCTCGGTGGAATTCTGGATCCTGTTCATGTGGGGAAATAGACAGGTCTGCAAAATAATATACTTTCGGTTGTAGAGCAGATTTAGTATGAGACAGGGTTTAGTATGGAGGTCTGAGCAATTATCAAAAATGCGCCACTTCCGTAAACTCTAAACATATCATTCCCTAATTTGGTAAAACCCCTGCAGCACGAAGGCTGGTTCGACGAGTACAACACGAAGTTGAACTGCGCGACGAGCATGGAGGGCCCTGACGAGAAGTTCCGAAAGAGCACCATCGCAACTTTGACAAGCATACTGGGATCGGTTCAGGTTGGAGGTTTTGAACTTCTTGTTGAGTTGACCAGACCCTGCTGTTGCCCCTGGGTTCAGAAGAGTGTGCCGTGCACCCATGTGCACCTTCGGCTATTCTCAAGGTGCGATGAGGCCAAAGCCGGTTGATGCTGTTTACCTTTCGCAGGGAAGGCCGAGCAGAAGGATTTTGCCGTTGAGTATCGTCAGCGAATATCGAGCAACGCCCTCCCAGCGACTAATTATTATCAATTTCTACCGAGTGATTTTGCGACTGCCACCGCTACTACCACTCCTACTACCTCTACGACGACGACGGCTACTACTGCTACTTTTGCTGTTACCTCTCAATGACCATGTTGGTCTGTAAGGAAGTGTTCCGAAAGAGCGATGTGGCTCTCCAGCGCGAGCTCATCCCCAACCTAGTGAAGGAGACACCTCTTCATCGGGTGAGTTAGGTTTCAGGCTTAGGTCGGCTTCAGTCAAGATGATTGGGGTCTGGCTAGACTTGAGCCCAGTGGGAAAGAGGGGGACCACGGTAACACTGGGCATGAGATGAGATGGGAGTCTTACTTGGATGCCGGAGTTTCATGAGACATTCCTAAAGCCCTTAACCCTAAACCGCGTATGATTGTGTTTCACTTGAAAGCAGACCTCGATCCACATGCCTCCGCTGGAGTGTCAAAGTGTGAGCGCCGAAACCGTGTGTTCAGCTTCCTAGGTCCTAGAGGTTTGGCGGCACACAACCTCGTGCCAAGCTTCGTGCTCGGCGCAGCGGATGGCAGCTCAATGATTTGAAACCTCTCGGCTGTGGATATGCTCCAACCCGACGTAGGGGCCTTAATAATTAGAATAGGCTTTCGGGATAGATTGTACCACAAGGATAGTAAGGAGCCTCAACATAGTGTAGGTAGTCATGCAGGCCGTTCTATTAAACACATCAAACTGGGGGAGTCTTATTCCGTCCGCATGTCCACCCCCCCCCCGAATGTCACAAAACCCCAGCTTTGAAGTGATCAAGACCACGTGCCCTAAACCCTAAACCCTAAACCCCTAAACCCTAAACCCCTAAACCCCTAAACCCTAAACCCTAAACCCCTAAACCCTAAACCCCGAATCTCCACTCCACAGGAGTTCAAGCTGGTCAAGAACGTGAAGGACGGAGAAGATCCGTTCACCCAAGTTGTGGCCAACAAGGCCCAGGGTTCAGGGTTTAGGGTTCAGGGTTTAGGACTTCCCCAGCTGATGATCAGAGACTGGGTTCAAAAAAAAAGGGTTTAGGGTTCTATAGGGTTCAGGGAGGGTGTAGGATGTTCTGAAGTCACTGCTGTGGGCTATCAGCCCGGTCGAGATCTGACCAGGCTCTTGCAAAAGGGAGGGTGTAGGGCTTCTGCTGTACTTGGAGGATCATGGGACTTAGTAAGTAAGGTTATAAGTACCTTAATTGGGGTTAGAATTATAGTTACCTTATTTATAACCCTAGTTACTCAGTCCCATGATCCTCCAAGTAGGGTGCCACCAGCCCGTGCTTAAGAAGTTATTCGTGCAAGATTGAGCGCGCGAACGCTTGACTTCGAGAACTGGTGGGTTCAGCAGGATCAGGTTCGTGCATCCCGCACCCTAATCTTAGTCCCTGGCCCCGGAACACTGAACACCGAAAAACTAAACCCTAAACCCTTAACCCTAAACCCTAAACCCTAAACCCTAAACCCCTAAACCCTAAACCCTAGACTCGGCGGCCTAGCCGGCTTGGCTTTCCTCGAGACCCGCGGAGATGGAGGAAAAAGGTCATGAACCAGAAAACTTAAGCCCTATTAAGCCTGCCTCGAACTCTAAATCATTATCCTCATGCCCTTAAAGTAAAGCAACGGGGATCCCAGCATTAATCATCCTAAATCCATGTTCCAACTTTCTGGGATTCACTATATGTGGCATCCGACTGCACCCTAAATCTCTATATACCCTAAACCTGAAATCCCCCAATCCCCTAAATAAAGCCTTAGCGCCGACTTTGAGCTGAACGTATATTCCGCATGACTGACATTAAGGTTTGGGGTTTAGGGTTTAATGTTTTAAGGGTTTAATGTTTACAGCCTCGGCCAGACACTAGGCCAGGGAGCTTCGCAACTCAAATACGGTTTGCGATCACAGTACACGACATTGTTCGGTCGGAGTTGGGTGTGGGAACATACTATAATACTGCTCTGTGCTATAACGGAATACTATTCCCCTTGCATGCCATCAGCCGGAGTTGAAGTCAGACAGATAGCTCGCCCTAGATGAAGCCGTGGCCTGGATGAAAAGAAGCGGCCTTCATGAGTAAAATAATAGGGCTTAGGGTTTAGGGTTTAGTGGCTTCTACATTCAGGCGATTGCACAAGTCCTGATGCAAAAAGTGGCTTCTACTTTAGGCCCATAGAGTCTGGGGAACCGTAAATCCTCCCAGGCCTGCGATGCAAGCATAGTCCTGCCATGTGGGACGAAAACAGCACCACATGGCGCCTTTGCATGTAGAAAATCATCTGTGTAAAGCCGTTATGAACAACCCCTGAAGCCCCTACAACACCACCACAACCCCTGTGAACATCTTTGAAACCACACGCCCCCCAGAGTTCCTTAGAGGTCTATGAGTTGAAGAAGCCGCTGACGTCTTCGAACTCCGAGTCTTGCATGAACTTCGACGACCAGCAGACGAATCTGTGGAAGGCCCGGTTGACTTAAGAAGGTTTATGGTTTTATTAGGGTTTAGGGTTTAAATAGGGTTTATGGTTTTATTAGGGTTTAGGATTTAGTTAGGGTTTAGGGTTTAGTTGGGGTTTAGGGTTTAATTAGGGTTTAGGGTTTAATCAGGGTTTTGGATTTTATTGGGGCTTTGGGTTTGGGTTTTGATTAGAGTTACGGTTTGATTTAGGGTTGTAGGGTCGTTTGTGACTACAGTAGGGCTTCGAAGGTTTTCAGTTCACTTCACGTTTTCCAGAGGGAGCGACCGGTGTTTCAACCTCTGAGTTTAGGACTAGTTGAGGTTTTACAATGCAGGGTTCAGGGAAAAGGGTTCCAGAAAAACACACTTATAACTTGCAACCCTAAGCTATTCTACTGAATAAGGCCCCTACTTATTAAGACCTAAACCCTAAAACACCCAACTCTAAACCCTGAAACCCTAAACCCTACTGTAAACCTTCGAAGCACTCAGCCCCGAATCTTTGCCTTGCGAGGTAGGAGGCAAACAAAGCCCCAAACCCTAATATAGGGGCCTATAATATTTAGAATAGGGTTTTGGGGCCCATTATACTATAATTAATTATNNCCCCCCCCCCACCCCCCCAAAAAAAATGGTGATATTGGTAATTGTTAGGCCACCAAATTATTCCTGTGAGCAGGACCTGGTTTCCGATGGCTTCACTTGCCACATCGAAGACGTGCCCTGCACATCTGCAGGGGCTTTCCTGGACCGTCGGGGGGGGAAAAGCGATCGGAGGGTTTCGGATTTCGGGGGTTTGGGGTTTAAGGAGGCTTTTAGGCATGTTTGAAAATGTGCGGGTATGAGTTTTGTCATTGTAGCCCCAACCCCGAAACAGAAGCAGTTCTGCATGTCTCTGACATTCGCAGGACGGGTCGGCGTGGGCAAAGATCGTTGGACTTTTGGACAAGCTCAAAGCCGAGTGAGCTACCTCCCCTTGTGGAATGCAGCTTTCTCTTTTGCATCGTACCTCCCGAAACTTACAGAATCTCAAGACACGAAGCACTTGAGCTTGTATTCAAGTTATCCAAATGCTGAGCTGCCCCCAGCCACCTAGAGTTCTTGGTATGTAGGCCGCCCTGCCCAAAGGAGTACAGTTTTAGAGTGCACGTGACGCATGGTGCCCGCAGTAAAAGCACTGCGCCGAGATATGCGTCTCCCATATTAGTGATAGTGGCTCTGCAGATGCCTATACATGTTGCAGTTGATGGACTGCATCTATAGTTTTGTATCTTCCAAGGACCTGTATGCGATCCGAGGAGGAAAAAGGCTTCAGATATCAGCGCTGGGAGATTGCGATAGCCAAAGCTTATGGATCTCTCTGAAAGCCCATGATCAACTTTTATTAAATCCTGGTAGACAGCGGCTCGCAGAACAGCCGGAAGCAAGGATGTGGCCCAATATCTGATTGGAGTTCTGCACCGTCATGTGCCTAACTGACCCTAGACCCTTACGTTTCTTCCGGGCCGATGTCTGTCGATGTGGGTTTCTGAACATCAGAGGCTCGTTAGGCAGAGGTCGTCTTATTGAGGCGAGGTTCCCATTGTTTGGGATTCATATTTGGAGCTCCTTCATTCGTTGACTGAAGCAACTTCATGGCCTGTGTCTCATGCTATACAGCTCGCTAATTCATCACAGCTTCCTTTGGCATTCATGGGGGCTTCCGAAAATGGGGGACCCCACTAATATCGTACCCTGAATAGTAGGATCCTGATTATAAGGATCCCAAAATCAGGTAGCCCCCTTATTTTCGCAAACTCCCTCATCTCAATCCACCTTCGGTAACCGGTCGACCCTCAGCTCCAAACAGGAGGCCGGAAACCCTGAACCCAAAGCCTAGCAGCGTTGATTCGGCGGTTTAGGGTTTAGGGTTTAGGGTTTAGGAGTGTCCGGAAGCATCTACTGGAGAGCCCGTGCACGGGTAACAGCCATCTGGTGTTCGTTTGTCCCAGAATTTTTGTCCGCGTAGAAGCCGGCACCAGGCGGCACGTGGTGCCAGTGTTCCAAAACGACGGAAGCAGTAAAGATTATTCCTCAACAAACGTTGCCCATGTTGTCCATCTAGGTCACCTGCTGTTCCAGAGTCGCCTCCGCCGGAGAAAATCTTGTAGCTCTGCTGCACTGGAGATCTGCGTCGTTGACGCCTTGGATGCCTTCACCCACAGGTGTGTCTGACCCTTCGTGAACCGTAGCTGAACCGGGATACCGCGGACGCTGAAGTGCTTGTAATCCCTAAGGCCCTGGAGCCGTGTGGAACCCTTACAGGGCCGCCCCGCCCCCCAAACCCGAAACCCTAAACCAAAGACCCTAAACCCCAAACCCTAAACGCTAAACCCCTAAGCCAGCGGAATCTGCTTTCATCTTGTTGGCTAAACCCTAGACACCTAAACCCCGCCCTAAACCCAATCAATACCTCAAAGGACCGTCTCTCCGGCTCTGAGCGCCACCACCGCCGACTCCCAGCGGACGCCCCCGGCGACGGAATGGTCGAGTCCGGTGTGGTTGCCCGGTGCAAGCAGCGCGGGTTCTGCAGGGGCTTGTATAAGGGTTCGAATTCAGACAACGGTGTAGAGAGGAAGCGGGTTTCGAATGTGTTTTTGTTGGTGCATTGGCTGGCCAAGTTGAGTTTGCATTCAGTTGTATCGGCCAAAGAGGTGAAACTCGTGTTTGTCCATGAGGTGCCGTTTGCTATATAATCTCTTCGTTATGGCAAAAGCAAGAACAAAGCAGTATTGGTGCTCGTTTTGCATGGCCTGCTCCTTGCCAGAAACAGCTGTGGCCTTACCCACAGTCTTGCTCATCGAATCAGCACTTCAATCGGCAGTGTGCGTGCTGAGCAGAGGAAACTACGATTGTTTGAGTCTGGGTCACGCATGAGTGCGAAGAAGCCGAGGCTGCCAACACCTGCTTGCATGATGGACGCTTGCTTTGCAGCAGCTTTGGGATTTAGGGTTTAGGGTTCAGTGGCGACGTTGGGTGCCGCCAGCCGATGTCAGTTCAACCAGTTCAACCAGACACGCCTCGTCGCAAGCCCCAGCCAACCTCCACCTTGCTTTGTCAAAGAACCAGAGAGCCCAATACCACTTAAATAAGGAATATACCTTAAACTATAGGGGCCTTAATATTATGATTTAAGGTATATTCCTCAATTAAGTGCTCTCTGAGGAACCTCTCAAAGAACAGTGGTCCCTAGCGCAGGATTCCATGCAGTAGGATCCTGGCCCAAACCAAAAAGGAATCAGCCCAGTGAGCCCCGTAGGGCTTAGGGTTTAGGGTACTGCATCCCTGAATTCAGGGAAAACAGCAGAAACTTGCTTAAATTGTTATCATCAGCCCATATCAAGTAGGATGTTTGCCTTAATTCAGTGGTACTGGGCTCTCCAGGAATGGAACCTTCAATGAGCTCATCCTGCGAATAAAAATGGACTGTGAAGCCTAACGCCTTTGGCAATGCCCTTGGTCTTTTCGCAAGTTTTATGCTCTTCGGAATCGGCTGGCGTCTGCATGGGCAATATGCGGTCAATCCAATCCCACAGCCTAGCCTTTGAAAGGGTCCAGGGTTTAGGGTTTCGGGAATCTCTTGATAAAATCCATGTCGCACTGCAGCTGTTTCGACTGCCACTTCATTACTACTACCACCACAAAGGCTGCAGCTTGTAGTGCGACAACGGATACTACTGTAATGATAGTGAACACCATGGACATTCAGCCTACGACCACAGCGACTGCAACAGCAAGAATGTGTACGAGGACGACCACAAGGGCAACCGGCAACGACCTCTACTCAACTTCTTCTGCAAGAAATATGTCTGCTGCTGACTACTACGGGGCCCTGATACTTCGGTGACGAGCATCGAAATCGTAGCCCGCTGCGCTCCCGAAGTCGGAAGCCCCAAACCCGAAACCCAAAGGCAAAACCGACCGATCCCATCAATCGAGGAGCGTCCGACGAGTGCTTCAGCGCACCGGCGCGTTCTTGTGTTATAAGGTGCGGCCCTCGGCGGTATTAGAGGGGTCGGACAATCAGTAAGAAGATGCCCTTAAAGTCCTGAAGCAAAGGTTCGTATACTCATAGTATTTTATACGTACAGTACACCCCAAACCCGGTTTTGTAAATTCTAATGCCCCCCCTACATGGGTAGTTCTCTAAATCAGGGTCCCGTTTTGGGCCCCCAACATACCCGTAGTACGGCACCCTTATAAAAAGGACCCTAAAAGGGACCCTAAACCCTAAACCCTAAACCCTAAACCCTCATAAAAAGGACCCTAAAAGGGACCCTAAACCCTAAACCCTAAACCCTAAACTTAGAGAACTACCCACATTCAAGTGGAAGGCTGCCGGGGTTGAGGCCGGAGGCTTGGAGCTCAAGGTCGCAACGATGCGGCATGAGGAACTTCTTATGGGTTTAGGGTTTTGGGTTTTGGGTTAAGAATTTAGGATTTGGGGTTTAGGATTTTGGGTTTAGGGTTTAGGATTTTGAGGTTTAGGGTTAAGAATTTAGGATGTTGTTGCACGGTTTAGGATTTGGGGTTTAGGATTTTGGGTTTAGGAGTTGGGAACTCAGACGAGTCCCTTGTGAAAAACAAGGTTTGGGAACTTCTTATGGCACGGCCATCAGAAGCTCAGTTTGCCATCTCAGGTATGAGGCCAAGTGCGAAGGCTATACCAAATGTTCGGGGCTTGTAGGGCAGGGATGCGGATCTGTCTAAGCCCTTCTACGTTTTTGTGAGGGTTGTTTTTGTGGACAGAACAGGCAGAAGTGCTTGTACATCACGCCGCCGATCGAATTTGATATGCTCGAGGTTTCTGGCTTTTCGGATTTGAGCCCTGTAGCTACCCGAAAAAGCCACCAAACACCGTGACCCCCAAGACCTCGAACAACCTTCAACCCTCAGCCGCTTGGCCCGGGGGCGAACATGTTCTTTCCGGACTATCTGACTGCGACTGCGCTTGGTGTAGGTTTTGCTCCGCCACGTTCAAGGGTTCAGCATACTGGAGAACACTTCCAGTTACAGTATCATTCTACCATCCGCAAGCCCTTACCCCTACACTCCCTCCGAAACCCTGAAGCCCCAAGCCCTTCGAAACCCAGCCTCGCCTGCATCGTTCGAGTCGCGAGAGTCCAAACCCTCGATATTCTATCCTCGCCTCGATTGTCCACGTGTGCCGAAACCCTACGTGGAGGATCACGGGACTTAGTAAGAGAGGTTATAAGTACCCGAACTGGGGTTATAATTATAGTTACCTTAGTTATAACCCTAGTAAGCCCTAAACCCTAAAGTGTGAGCGCCGAAACCGCGGTCACACCCGGATGGCCTTGGCAGGTGACGATGCTTCGCGGGGGAGGATCCCAGGTCCAGAGAATAGCGAACCAAATGGCATATAGCTGAGTATTCATTAACAGCAACCCCTAAACCCTAAACCCTAAACCCTAAACCCTAAACCCTAAACCCTAAACCCTAAACCCCTAAGAACTATGGTTATTGTGGCTGATTATGAACCGTATGTCTTAGTCTTCAAGCAATGGCGTCTTCAAGGCCTAAGCCCGCCAAAGAAGGGTCGCTACCATCTCTAGAACATCAGGGTCTTTTGATTGAGGGTTCAGGGTAAGAGGGCTCAGGGTTTAGGTTTAGGTCTGGGTCTTTTTGGTGATGTTCGTTTCTGTCATTTTTTTACCCCGCCGCGGGTGAGCATCAGGGTCTGATAAGGATTGCTTACCTCCCGTCTGGAAGCTCCCGGACGTACCCGCAAGTTGGCTTTCGAAAGCCCCTGCAGTCTCAGCTGCTGCGGTTTCATATAGGCCCTTATTCCTCAGGATATCGTATTATATGAATTCCATAAAAGACTCCAGTTTCCTAGTCCAAAGTAGGCACAGTTTGGGCAGATGAGATCCTCCACATCGCTTGCCCCATGGTTTTTTACCAA